ATATATATATATATATATATATCTTATGCGCAAATTGCGTTAAGTACTGTGTAAAAACAATCTTATAGTTAAATCCTTCATATATTGGATAGATATGGGTAAGTGATGCGACTTTGGTTGTATAATGTAAAGAAGTAACTTTACCGAAGCATGTTATTGTTGATCTACATCAACAGTATGAATTCGCAACGAAAGGTTGGCTGGCGACTGCCATAGAGTTGGTGTCACTTTAAAAATTCAAACTAACGCATTAAATTGTTCACCCGAGAAAAAAACACATTTTGAATTCATTTTTAGTCTTACTTTGTCTGCATTCGTTGCTGTTTAGTAAAAAAGAAGAGCTGACAAAGGAAGGACAACGAAAATGTATTCCATATGATTGTTTTGTGTACCATTGTTTCGATAGTGGGAAAGCCATTGTAACACAGGGTTCGCCGCTGAACAGTTGTAGGCACTGGTGTGAATGCATGGAAACGTCAATAGGGCACGACTAGATTAAGATATATAGAAAGGGCACTTGAAATTGGCTCGAAACAGGAATCACTGGTTAAAGACGACGGATTGCGGCAGCTAGATAAAAAAAAATCAACTGCGATACAATGATGATCAATTACGACGATTATTATTATTGTTCTATGATATCTATAAGGGTTACTAACACTACTCCAAAGGAGCAGGCGCCGTTGGCGATAGGTTGAATGTTACATAGATATAGAAATACACTTCTGTTGAACATGTCCATGGACGACGACGGCGACGACGACGATGAGGATAAGAGCGTTTCCTGAACTTTGACAGATTTATTTGTTTGCTCGAAAATGAGTGGTAGAAACAGGAAAGGCTATAGAGAAAACAGCAACTCGCCCGTTGGTATTCAGAATATATCTGTCAAACCCTAACAATCTACACTACGTGGTTTACGTACAGGGTTTATTCTGATGAGCCGACAAAGCCTCAACAAATAGGCTGATTTCTCTCTACGAAAAGTACGAAGTACGCATGAAGGATCGACAAAACAAATATGAAATTATCAAACGCTGCAAATAACGAACTGCTATTACTAACAATATTCTGACAGTTCTAATCAGATTCCTTAGATTATAAAGGCCATTATTTCTATTTCCACTAATTATCACAGCCACTTGAGTTTGCCGTGCGTTTATATACATGTATGACTTTTAAACGCATAAATAGAGCAACATCCCCATTCACAGTCGTCCTACGCCTGAAAAGTGGCCTTTGTTGATAACGACTTCAGTCAATCCACAATGCGGACTGGAGAATAAGAGAGAAAAAGTTGTCAACATTATGACCTGAGCATACAATTCTAACTATGGCCTGATCAGCGAAACGCTGCGAAGAAGGCGCAACGGGAATTCGTTGTGTGATATAGATTCGCAAACAAATGTCGCGGAAGTGGAATGGGAACATAGAACACAACAACAAAATAAGAAATCTGTAGTCGACGTTTTGGGCATGTTTGATCCACTGAAATAGAGGCAAGGGTTGATCTAGCGATCATCATGTTGTAAAGTGACGTTACTCAAATGTAACGAAAGTTATGATGGTGAACTATGAGACACAATGAAAGCTCGGTTGTGACTTCGCTTTAGTTGCCGCTTTAGAAAGATCAATAAAATGAGACAAATTACGGAAATTAAGATAACTGCAATATGCCCTCTAAGACGCTAACACAAAAAAAAGCAAGGAGCAAGTCGACGAGCTAGCGAAACATAAGACATGAAATGATATATATACGTTGGGCGGTATATTATTTTAACTTAATGAGTGTTTCGGATTTTTGTCGGAGAGTTGGCAATTTTGGACTCAAAACCAATAAACGTCAAAAATACATAATAATAATAAATATGAAAATTGGTAGAATCCTTTTAAGAGTTTTAGTTATACTCATCCCGTCAGAAAACGATACATTGTTGACCTGCGTTTCGAAAAGACGAGCGTTTCTTTACCAATATTTCGATAATCGAATCATGAACAGCAGAAAAGTCGGCAAGCCTTAAGTAGCCCAATGTCAAACAGAGAAAGCTAACTTTTCGGCACTAAATCCATCGCTCTGCTCGCCTCTTATGTTGTTGAAACATGCAGCAGCTTACACTGCTGACCCTGGTTGTTCATTCGTGAGGTGAAGCCAGTGACAGTTGTCGAAGTGAACAACCCTGCCGACAATAAATGGCGGAGATTAATCATTTATATATATTGACTGATTAATCATTTATTAATTTCGAAATTAATCGATCACAACGGTTAGTCGAACTAATACTGAATAATACTGACCAGCCTGTCACGATTAAAGGTAATTTGATAGAAACCGAAAGGCACCACCTCAAAAATAAGGACATGCAATAGAAACAACATCTATTCCGCCGACAACGACACAAGAAAAGAAAAACTCAGAATGTCGAACCTTTATTACTTAATAATATTAACTAATGCTATAATTGATGATAATAATACAATACATACGGATAATTGATTATACTGATAATAATGGCTACTATAATTGGGGAAAATCGGTGATTACTACATAATTGTGGTCAATTGATAAGTGCGACTTATAACCAAGGGCAATCGTATGGGCGCGAATTCGATTATTTTCGATATGACGATCAAACTGAGAGGTGATCGAACTCAGTAATGATAACTCGGCGATTATTTCTTTGATATTTGATAGAACGATGAATGAGAACCATGAAGGGATAATACTTACTAGGCTTACGAATAATTATAACAGAGATCTGATTGGCGAGATATTAAATATGAATTTTGGCTGATTGCAGTCGCGGCTGACAAATCGGTTGTCTAAAAGCTTAGGTAGCTGTGTTTGAACTAGTAACGTAAAGACCAGCGAAGTTCCGATACGAAAAGACATCACACAAAAAAATTATTGCAACAAAACACACACATATATTCCTTTATCGGAACTGAAGAGTATAGCTCAATAGCCTTTTAAAAGTTAGGTAGCCAATCTGCCGATTTGGAATGAGGTCAGCCCATTTATCATCAATTATGTATATATATATTATTGATGCTGACAATGCTGGGAACAAAAACAAAACTTATTATAAAACAGGGCGCGGGCGATAAGTAATAATGCTCATGATATTACTGGAAATTCTAACGGTTGATTGTAATAGTTCTATATTTTTCCATGCAGGTGCTGAAGAGTAGAGAGAGAAACCGGAGATCGTTGAGCCCTACCATATTGGTGAAGTCGCACTGTCAAACTTAGGTTTAACTGTGGCGATAAATAAGGGTAATGATTCTGTGCTAAATAACGACGAGTAGGGTTTCCAATCATTGGTTAATAGAGATTCGCTCCTGGCAATTTATGTTATCGATGATAATAATTAAAATGATAAATCAGAAGGGTCGTTGGCCGGCATCGTCTCTTTCACTTCCTGAATCACATGCAAAATAATAATAATAAAAAGAACAGTGAAAGCTAAGCAAACGTACGATAATACACTCACACAATATATATTTACAGAAAGTAGACAGATCGCTAGAAACAGACTGTCGAATACACTATACATCTAACTAACTTCTATATTATAATAGTAATAATATTAAGTACCGAGATCACTGAAATAATAATGAAGATAATGGTATGAATAATATCAAAAACTAACGATGGTGACAACTACAATTATATATATATATATATATAATACCAATGTACAAAGCGGCCGCTCGACGCGACTGCGACGCGTCTACCGAATTCAACTTTGACATCATCGGTCAGTCGTACGAAGCCAATTTCTTTGCCGACAGACACCCCCTGAAATTTCTCTGCACTCCACTGTTGTCGCGCGATCCTACGAAAGCCGCGCGAATTGAAGTCTCATTACACAAACATACACAGAGAGAAAGAAAGCGAGAGAGAGAAAGCGAAAGAGAGAGAGAGAGAGAGAGTACCATAACGTTTTTCTTTGATTTTAATAAAACATTTAATGTAGTAGGAAGTTATCCTTGTCTAATGGTTCATATTTATTCTAATTGTTATTGTCCTATGAAGAAAACAATTATCCCTTACCTAATTATAATTCATTCGTTTTTTCTATTATCAGTCTTTTCGGACATATTGTATCCGTGCATTCATGCGCTGACAAACTATTATGTACTCTAACTGATAAATGTATTTTATCTAGATTGTCGACCGCGTGCCTTCAATGCGCAAATATCATAGAAGATTATGAAATAAAATGAATTAGTACGGCTACCATTCGCTGTGTAACAATATCATCGATACCAGGCGACAATGCGACAATATACATACGATGTTTGCTAATACGACAAAAGGGCAAGAACGTAGCAACAATAATAATGTATTGGGAACACATTCAGTCACTCTGCGGAAGTCGGTCGAACGGTTGCCGGCCCATCAAGGCTCCCGAATGAGAGGGGCTTCTTGTTGGGAAACCCGCCTGGCCCTGTAGGGCCTCCAGGACGGGACAGAGTCTCAAACTCTCAAAGTCACTAGATAGTAGCAACAAGCAACTAATCATATAAAACGACAGCAGTAGTAGCAACACAAATTGAGCTGTAAAAGCGAGGTTAATATCAGCAACAACAGCAACCCTAGATATGACAGGAAACCAAGCAAATAATCATTCCTTACCAATAGAAAGTTATGTTATAACGAATGATGATGATGGTTAAAAGGCTCAACGATCATTTACAGTGACAGGAAAAAAGCTTTTTTGAAATCACTTTATGTTGCAACGACAATGGTTTAACACACAGGCCTATTGGTGTGCAAAGTAAATCATATATGTGCGTAAGCAGTGAATTGCGTTGGCGATCGTATCAGTCCGATTGATCCCTATGAGGTTTTCCCCAATGCTACTGCCATTATTTGAGAGTCTCGTT